TATTCAGTTCCCACCCTCATGAATAGACCCTGGCAACTGACAACGAACATCACGATTGAGATCAGTTTCAAAGTTCAAAAGAGAGCAAAATGGATATATAGAAGTACTTTAAATCAGAACCACAGTGACACTGTGGAAATAAATAAACATTGTCATGAAATGCAATTAACTCACGAGGCAGTTATCAACAATATTAGTAACACTTTCACTCATACTAAAAGATCAGCCATGAATGACTTCATTTCTTAAAGACTTCATTTATGTAAATATTATTTATTTTATATAAATGTTATTTATATTTATACAAATATTTATAAGTATATTCATTTATACTAATAATTATTAGATCACTACTCACCACTTCTTTTCTAAGTTGAATAAAAAACTGTTTGCACTTGAAAGAAATTTTTATAATCTTCAACCTGGATAAAAAGAGAATGAATGGGAGTATTTAAAATACTGAATAAAAATAAAAACATTAACTTAAGAAAATAATGCAAAAAGTAACCTTTTAACTGTATTTCAGTAACATCTAAACATTCAATCATATATAGACACATTACATAAGAAATCTAAAGATTCTGGTGCTTCATGAAAAAATAATTAGAATCTATATGAAGAAAGTTTTATCTGAATATTTGCTGTGAACTATACCTTTCCCAACTTTATATCTAGAGAAATACAAAAAAACACGTCACAAATTAAAATTTCAAGATATACCAATGAGATATACCAAGAACTGGTTCTGTAAGGAGCTTAGAAATCAACACCTCTTCTTGGATTCCTAAGAGAGGGGAGGGCACAGGAACTGCTGCTCCCAAGATCTGAGAGACTAACAGGTGAATACAGAGAACTGCAGCTTACCAGAGCAGAGACTCAGCGAGCAGAAACTGCCAGAGGAACCAGTGCCAGAGGAATCTGAACTATAATTTAAGAATTGTTGGAGGCTCCGTGTGGACAAATTCAAGATTGAAAAACTCCAGAGGGACCCAGTTATGGAGGAGGAAGGGCCTCCTGTAATGTGAAATTTACCTCGAGAAGCCCAACCAGATTCCCACGGTAAATACCAGACACAAATACCCTTGGGTTTCCAGCAAGGGAAGGGGAAAAGGAACCATTTTGAAATACACTCTGTTCTTTTTTTTTTTTTTAAACTAGTTCACCAAATCCTCACCTGCTCGGGTATTAGCAGAGCTTAGCCAACCTGAGGAAACCTAATCAGCTCACTCTAGCCATCCTATCTCACCTAGCAGGGAGGAAAAACACAGAGAAACACTTGTGAAGCTCACAGTCTAGAGGCATGGGCTCACTAAAAGAGAGAGCTAATCATAGGATACAGAACACTTGCCATCCCCCTACACCTCACAACAAGATTACTAAGGGCCTATTTATAACACTTCCTTTTACTGGAATATCACGTCTGGCTATCAAAAAATTACAAGGCATACCAAAACGCAAAAACACGAGGTGAAGAGACAGAGCAGAACCAGACATGGAAGAGATGTTGGAATGATCAGACTGGGGATTTAAAACTCTATGATTAATATGCTAAGGGTTCTAATGGATAAAGTAAAAATCATGTAAGAATAGATGGGCAATGTAAGCAGAGATGGAAATCATTAGATTTCCTTAGAAAGCCAACCCTCCCCCCACCAAATGCTATGGGTAAAAAACACTACCACAGAAACAATACTTTTCATGACCTTATTTGTACACTGGACACAGACGAGGAAATAATCTCTAAGGCAGAAGATATATCAATAAAATCCTAAAAACCCCAAAAGCAAAAAGAACATAGACTAAAAAAGAACGGAACAGACTATCCAAGAACTGTGGGACAACTACAAAAGATGTGACATACAGTAACATACGGTAATGGAAATACCAGAAGGAGAAGAGAAAGCAACATAAGAAATGTTTGAAACAAAAATGACTAAGGAACTTACCCAAATTAACATCAAATGCCAAACCACAGGTCAAGGAAGCTCAGACAACACGAGCAGGATAAATGCCTTAAAAACCACACCTGGGGGGCGCCTGGGTGGCTCAGTCATTAAGCGTCTGCCTCTGGCCCAGGTCATGGTCCCAGGGTCCTGGGATCGAGCCCCATATCGGGCTCCCTGCTCGGCAGGAAGCCTGCTTCTCCCTCCCTCACTTCCCCTGCTTGTGTTCCCTCTCTCGCTGTGTCTCTATCTATCTAATAAATAAAATCTTAAAAAACAAAAACAAAAACAACAAACCACACCTAGGTATACCACTTTTAAATTATAGAAAATTAAAAATAAAGAAAAAATCTTGAAAGAAGCCAGAAAAGAAAAAACATCTTATCTATAGAGAAATAAAGGTAAGAAGAGTTAAATCCAGCTTCTCAGAAATCATGAAGCAGGAAGAAAGTGGGTAAAGCGTTCAGAGAAAAAAACCATCAACCCCAAATTTCATATTCTGTAAAATTATCCTTCAAAAATGAATGAGAAATGAAGACTTTCTCAAATAAAAATTGGAGGAATTTGTTGGAACGAGACCTGCCTTGCAAGAAATGTTAAAAGGAAAAAAAATAATATAGGCCAGAAACTTTAATCTATATAAAGAAAGGAAAAGCCCTGAAGGACTAAGTGATGGTAAAATAAAAACTTGATTTTTCTTATTCTTAACTGATCTAACATATAATTTGTTCAAAATACTAAAATAAAAAATGTATGCAATTATGTATGTTTATGTACCTATCCTATATATACAATTATATACTTATAAATGCTTATATATAAGTGAAATGATTGACAGCAATGATACAAGGGACAGGAGGAAGAAATTAGTATTCTCTGATTTTTTTTTTTAAGATTTTATTTATTTATTTGACAGAGAGAGACACAGCCAGAAAGGAAACACAAGCAGGGGGAGTGGGAGAGGGAGAAGCAGGCTTCCTGCCAAGCAGGGAGCCTGATACAGGGCTCGATCCCAGGACTCTGGGATCATGACCTGAGTAAAAGGCAGCCACTTAATGACTGAGCCATCCAGGCGCCCCAGTATTACCTCATTATTATAAGGTACTCACAGTACCTGTGACATGGTATACTATTATTTGAAAGTAGACTTGGATTACTGTAAATATAATTGCAAACTCTAGAGCAACCACTAAAAAAAAAATAAGAAGTAAAACTAATAAACTAGGAAAGGAGAGAAAATGAGATCATATAAAATGCTCAATTAAAACAAGAATGGCAGAAAAAGTGAAACAAAAATGGAAACAAAGAACAAGAGCAACAAATAGAAAACATTAACGAATATGTCAGATATTAATACAAATATATCAAAATACTTTAAAATGTCAATGGGCTAAATATAACAAAAGACATTGTCTTTTAAGACATTGTAAAAATATTTAAACAGTATTTTAAATATAAAAACATATATAGGTTAAATGCAAACAAATGTATAAAAATATACCATGCTAAGACTAATTAATAAAAAGCAGGAGTACTAGGGATATAATGTACATCATGGTGACTACTGTTAATAATACTGTATTGTATATTTCAAAGTTGTTAGGACAGATCTTAAAAGTTACCACCACAAGGAAAAACAATTGTAAACTATGTGTAGTGATGAATATTGACCAGATATACAGTGATAACCACTGTGCAATACATAAAAATATTGAATCATTATTGTACACCTGAAACTAATATAATGTTATATGTCAATTATATCTCAAAAAAGTAAGAATGAAAGCAAAGAAGAGTAGCTCTAATAATTTCAAAATGCAAGACTTTAAAGTAAATAGTTATTGAGGATAAAGCAGGGCATTCCACAATGCTAAAGGGGTAAATTCTCCTAGAAGACATTATAAAATCTTAATGAATATGAAACTAACAACAGAGCATCAAACTACAAGAGGGAAAAACTGACAGAACTACATGAATACAGTATTGTATTCGGAGACTTCAACACCCCTTTATCTGAAATGGACAAACTCAGCACACAGAAAATCATTAAGGACATAGTTGAACTCAATAATATTATCAAATGGATATCATTTACCTTTACTGATTACTTCTTACAATATGAAAATATACATTTTTCTCAAGCTCATTTGAAACATTCACCAAGATGGATCATATCCTCAGCCATAACACACACCTTAACAAATTTGAAAGAATAGAAATCACATAATACCTACTTTCAAAGCACAACAAATTGGAGGACGAAGGAGTAGGAGACCTAAATTTCATCTGGTCCCAGGAATTCAGCTAGATAGGAATCAAACCATTCTGAACACCTACGAACTCAACAGGAGATCGAAGAAAAGAATAGCAGCAACTCTGAACAGGAAAGCGACCACTTTCTGGAAGGTAGGACGTGCAGAGAAGTGAATCCGAGGTGATATTCGGGAAGACAGATGGCAGGAGAGGGGGCGTCCGTCAGCCGCTACTGGCAAGTAATAGAGCGGCGGAGCACAAAATCGGAACTTTTAGAAGTTGGCTCTGCTGAAGGACATCACTCCAGTGGCTAAGTGGGGGGTGGAACCCTCGTTGGGACAGTGTGGTCTCAGGACCCTCGGGGTCACAGAGAGACCGGGGGTGCCTGAGTGCAGCACAGCTCCCACCTATTGGAGCAAGGAAGCCGGCTGCAGAGATGGAGCCGAGGAGCGGGCTCTCAGCTCGGGGTTGCCATGAACTGTGATCCACGGCACAGTCGGGCCACTGCTCCTCCAGCAGGGACCCAACAAGCAGCAGATCTGGGGAGACTCCCCTTCCTCCCCCGGGAGGAGCGGCATGGGAGCGCACCGCAGGGATCTTCTGGGTTTGGAGACTCCACACCGGGTTGGGTGCCAGAAATAAAAACGCTCGGTCACAGGCCGGGTGAGCACGGAGTGCGGCCGGAGACCAGGGAGACGGGAGTGACTGACTGCTTTTCTCTGGGGGCTCACTGAGGAGCAGGGACCCGAGTTCTCGGCTCCTCCAGGGCAGAGATTGGGAGGCTGCCATTTTCGCTCTTGTCCCCCAAAGCTGTACGGAAACCTTGCAGGGAACAAAGGCTCCTGAAAGCAAACCCGAGCAGATTACTTAGCCTGGACCCAGCAAGGGGGGGTGCAATTCCGCCTCCAGAAAAGACATTTGGGAACCACGGCAACAGGTCCCTCTCCCAGAAGATCAGCAAGAACAGCCAGCCAAGACCAAGTTTACCAATCAATGAGAACGGCAGAACTCCAGCTCTAGGGGAATACTGCACGTAGAATTCATGGCTTTTTTCCCATGATTCTTTAGTCTTTCAAAGTTAATTTTTTTTTTAACTTTTTCTTTTTTTCTTTTTTTTTAATTTTTCTTTTTCCCTTTTTCAACCAACATCTTATCAATCCCCTTTTTAAAAAATCTTTTTTTGGGGGGATGGGTTAGCCTGGTGATGCATATTAAAGAGGGCACGT